AAAACCACAACTTGGTTCTTTCAGAAGACTAAAAAAATGGAAAGACCTCTCATGCAAATGAGAATGAAAAAGATTTTGACTGTCACAGCTGGGAAAGGGGAATGCTACGGGCATCAAGTGGGTAGATTCCAGACACACCACTGAACATCCTAAAATGTGCGGGTCAGCACCTCAAAACAATTAGCTGGCCCAGAATGTCAGCAGTACCTATGCGAAGAAACTCCGTAATTGGTCCCGCAATCATTAGGAGGACAAAAACAGGAGACTCTTATGAGAATCTTTATGCAAATATTTATAAAATAGAAAAAATGCTAAAAAGAACAAAAAATACCAACATACCAAAACTGACATCAGAAGATAAATACAGGTTGAATAGTCCAAGAAACTTTAAAAAAAATATAACCTGGAATTTAAAACTGTCTCACAGAGGAATCTGCAGACATAGATGACTTCACTGGAAATTTCTATCAAGACTTTCAATTAAGAAATAATTCCAGTGTCACACAGAGTCATCCAGAGAATACTCCTCAACACTTCCATGAGACAGCATTACCTTGATACCAAAAATTGACAAGAGAAATAAATAAATAACTGCAAGTCAAACTTAATCAGTAACACAAAAGCAAAACTCGTAAAATATCAGCAAACTGAATCCAATGACCTATGGAGGGGATACTGCATCGTGGTCAACATGGGTTCAGTTCAGAAATGAAAAGGTTGCTTTAATGTTAAAAGAAAAATCAGTAAGAGTAATTAACCATCAATAAAATAAAGAAGAAAATCTGTCATCTCAACAGAGACCAAAGAAATATTTGATAAAATTCAACATATTCATTGGGGGGGAAAAAAACCCTCACAGGAAACTAGGAACAGAGAGCCACAACCCTGTTCGCAAGGAGTCCTTACAAAATCAGAAGACCTACAGCAAACACCGCCATCAACAGTGACATGGTGAAGGGTCTCCCTTTAAGATCCATGTCCAGGCAAGGATGCCCCCAGGCCAGCTGTACCAGTGTCCCTAGCTACTGTGTGAAGGAAGGAAAAAGAAATAAGAAACGGAAGGGAAAAATAAAACTGTCTACATTTGCAATCAGCTTGCAGAAACTGCAAAAGAATTTACAGATAGTACTAGACTTCAGCAAGGTCAGTCAAGGATCATACACAAAAACCTGTTGTACTTCGGTGTGTGTACCAGAAACAAATAGAAATAAAAATGACTAATAGATAGCAATTACAATAGCATTAAAAAGTATCAAACACCAGGAATAAATCTAACAAAAGATACGGAAGACCTCAGTGAACCCCTGGTCTGGGCCTCCTCACTGTTGCTCAGACACTTACTCGGGGATCCCCCACCTTCCCTGGCCTCCCACCCCATCCTTCCCTCTTTCCTCATCTGTTTACAATGCTCTTGCCAAGGCAATTTTTCCAACAGAGCAGCTTGAAAACCCTTTGACCATGACCCACAGTCTGTATTTGTATGTGGAGACATAGTCCACACCCGCATAGATACCCTGGAATCAAAAGTTTTAACAACAATAACTTATCTTTCTTGCAATTTGTTCTTTTATATTCTTCTTAGTTTCAAGGTTGTCAGGACCCACTCAATGGGTTCCACCAGCCATGACAGGTGCTGGCCTTGGCTCTGAAGCCCCTTGCTCATGGGCCTGTAGGCAGCCCCTTCCTGGCCTCTGCACCCAGCTCCCAACTCTGGAAGGCTTGGGTCTACTGCCTGCACCCAGATACCTGGGATACCCGCCCTCCCCCCCCATGAAAAACCTGTGCATTTCCCCTCTTATGGAATCAATTCTTTTGAACCTTCAATCGTAGTGATCTATGCATATGACATGTCATTGTCACACTACTAAGCCCCATTGCCCACGGTGTTTTATATATGGTTGGCTCCCAGTGAAGGTGAGGAGCAGTTCAAATGGGGACAGCGGATCTGAAACATCCGAGCCATTTGATGGATGGGCAGCTGACTGGAGAATCACGTACAGCAAAGCTCAAGTTGGGGACAGGGTCGCAAGGCAAGTGCCCTGAGGATCTCCAGTGGTGGGCTCACACTTTACACCCACCCCAGCTTCAAGGCTATACTGATGAGCGGCAGCCTGTGGGTCCTGGCATGGGGCTGGGAATCTCTGGAATACACAGCACCCTCTGCCTAGAGCTCAACCACACCACTTGCTCTGCTCGGCCCCAGGGAGGCCCGGGGATTGGAGATTTCAGAGCACAGGGGAACACTGCGGGGGTGCAATAAACGCCCCTCCAGTCAGGGTCCCCCTGCGAGCTGCTCCTAGAGAAGGCCTGGGCCTCTTCAGTATTTTCTGTTTGGCCCAAAGCCTGTGGGACAGCTTGCACCCCAGGCTGTGGCTTCCGAGTGGGAAATACGGCCAGTAGGGGAGGAGGATGAAAAGAAGTGAGGTGGCTATTATGGCACCGAGGGCATCTGATGGCCAAGGAGACAGGCCACCAGCATACAGCCCCTGCCAGGGGAAGAAGCTGCAGCCTCGAAGCCGAATGACAGCCCTTCCCTCCTCGGCTGCCCCGGCCCAGCATGCCCGTGACAGCTCGCACCTCCACCCCGGGCTTGCCCCTGTCAATGGGAAATGCCCAGTCGTGGGGTTCAGCGAGAAGACCGCCACCAGGGGTCCTGTGCAATGGGGTCCCTCTGCCAGCTTCCCATCCAGGCCTAATGACATGACACGCATGCAGACACACGCTTGCTGTGGTGTCCTGCCTAACGGAAGACGAGGAGAGCCTCTGTGTGAGAGCCTGGGCTCTGGAGCCAGACCAGCACCCCAACCAGGCGCCCTGCCTCTCAGCTCAGGGATCAAAGTCACATTTCTCAGCCTTTACGTGTCCATTTCTTCACCATAAAAATGCATGCACGGCAGATCATTCTTGGGAACATCAGCCTTCAGTGGCTGCCTGGAACCTCACAAATCTGACCTGGGGTCCATAGAGGGCCAAGAAGGCATCCCAGCCCGCAGTGGCTCACCCCAGCCTCCCATAGGGCCTGCCCTCCCCAGGGCCTCACCTAGCAGGGAAGCAGGAGGCAGCGCACCCCACTGCACCGCGCCCATGGGCAGAGAAGAGCCACTCCGAGGAGGAGGGCACTGAGAAGCCAGTGAGAGCGGAGGAGGCCCAGCCTCGAGGACCAGCACAATGCTTCCCAGAGGATGCGTATGGGGTGTGTAGTATGTATGTATGGTGTATGTGTGTGTATGTGGGGGGGGTGCCCGTGCAAGTGTGTCCTGGGGAAGGTGCTGGGTGAAGGTAAGATCACTTGCCCTTTGACCCACCGATCCGGAAATCAGGAAGCAAGAAACATGCAGAGAGGAATGGAATTCCCTGAGGTCAGGGGCCGAGTGTGGGTGAGGACCTGCTGGATGGGAGGGGGTGGGGGTCACGTCCTCAGACCAAGGGGAAGGAAGGCCCTGTCCAGATGCCTCCACACGTGCCCCCTGGCTTCACGAAGGCAAAAGCCAGCAGCGCCCCATGGCCCCCAGCCAGGAAGGGCATGAAAACTCCTGCTCACGCTCCTCTATGGGTCACCTGCCTGCCCAACTGTTACCCAAGCCTGACACCAGGCCAGCCTGCTGAGCCTCCCACAGGTACCCACCACGGCCGCCCAGGGAAGCTGGCTTTGCAGGGACAGCCTCCTGGTGCTTCACAACCTGAGGAGCTACAGGGACAAGGCCAGGTGTGAACATCTCTCCCCTTCCTGGGGGAGCTCACCAGCCCCCAGAGAAAACCAGGAGGGGGTTCCTACAAAGAGGATGGGCGAGACTGTGGCTATGGCCCAGGCACAGGAGAGGGACACAGGATGACGACTGGCAAGTCAGAGGGCACTAGAACCTTCCCTCCCTGCCCTAGCAGGACAGGCAGCCTTCCCTACCCGGTGGCAGGCACACTGCCATCAGGAAGGGAAAGCACGCCTTCAGAGAAGCCCGAATTTGACCACCTGGGCACCCTGAGAGCGCTGCGGATGGTCCCCTCTGTGAGGTCCCTCCCCTGGGGGTGGCACCTTCCCCTGGGGGTGCTTCAGACAGAGATGCAAGGCAGGTCTGCAGCAGCCTGCAGGGCCTGGGAGCAGAAAAGCACTTGGAGGGCACTGTTGACCCCCAGCAGGGACGCAGCCAGACTGCCCATTCCACCACGGGGTGGGCACTAAATGGTCTGGGAGGTAGCGTGGCCCAGCTGCACCAGAGTGGGACCCCATGCAGGGTTCCATGCAGCATGTTTTAGCAGCAACTATTGGGGGAATCCTAAATTTCCTGATGTGAGGTAGGATTTTTGTGGGATTACAGAAACCTTGGCTCAAAACCACCGCCACAACAGTGGACGAGAGGCAGGGCAGAAATTCGGTCTCCGTGGAGTTACAAACGGAAGTGAGGTATTCTCCTTGAGATTCTGAAGATAAGGAGGCAGAGAAAGGATAATTATGAAGCAGCTTAGGATCACCTCCATTTGCCCTTTTCCTCACTTGACCTCACCAGAGCTGAGGTCACACCATCGGCCCACAAGGCCCTCCCCGTGCACAACCACAGCCCTTGAGGCCCCCACGGCCAGCAAGGTGCAGCCTGGCGCAGGCAGCATGAGGGGCCCTCCAGTCTGTGCACGCAGGGGACGGCCTCTGAGGTGGCTCTTCTGAGGGCCAGTGCCCAAGGTGAGCAGGACCAGTGAAAGTGAAGACCCTCCAAGTTCCACCAGGGGCCAAATGCAACCCCAGGGGCAGCAAGGCCCAGGAGGGGCTCACGCTGTGGGCAGACACACCGAGACTGAGGACGGAGCACTGCCCTGCACAGACCTGTTTGTACCCATTGCACGTGCCTCACTCCAGAAGGAAACACGTAGCTTTCCGTTAGCATCTGTTTACTGTCTGAGCTCCACCTCTGCACCCAGAAGTCAGAGCTGCTCCAACACCACAGGGCCAGCTGCTGAACAGCTGCCCTGACGCCTGCTCACCAGAACGCCCAGCCCAGCCCCCTGCTCACCCGTCAAGCAGGTTGATGCCTGCCCCTCGGGGCAGGGTCCACGGTGTCCATGCAGGGGTGGCCACCTCTGCACCCAGGGGCTCCCTGGGCAGGCAGCTTGGCACCGACATTCAAGGGGCACTGCTGGACCTGTTGGAGCGCCTGCCCCCATGGCCACTGTCAGAGAGCCAGGTGTGTGGGGCAACAGACAGGAGCAAGGGACAGAAAGCAGGCTAATGCACGCAGCTCAGAAGGCACTGCCTGAGGGTAGGTTCTAGAAGGAAGCGGGAGAGGAGGATAAACTGGGCAGGGACAGTCAGGCAGGCGTCAACCACATGAGAGGATCTGGAAAAGATGGAGGACGGGGGGAGGCAGGGGACACACATGTGCTGCCGTCCCTGGGACAGGAGCGGTGAGCCCGCGGCTGGCCTGGTCACCCTGGCGTGGCTGCTCACCACCTCCCGGCATCCAGTCCCACGTGGCTGGGCTGCCCAGGGAGCCTGAGGAGGGGCTGGCAGAGGGAAAGTGAGGGTGGCACAGGCCCGGGAAAGAAGGGTCTGCTTCAGGTCAGCACAGCTTGGCATGAGGTCCTTCCCGGCTCTCACCATTCCCAAAGCCCACCTGCGCCGACCTTGCTAAACCGCGGCCAGAACTCGGCACAGAGAAAGCAGGACGCCCCCATGCCCGGCTCTGCCCTTCACCTCCACCAAACCTGAAGCACCGCTGAAGGGCCCATTGAGCTCCTGTCTGAAAACTTCAGCACAGGCATTTCCCAATGCAGTTTACATTCAGGAGTGGGCCAAGGAGCTTGGGGCCAGGAATGGGAACATGGGCTGGTTTTTAAACATCTGTTAAGAAAGTGCTAATGCTATACACTCCACAGAGGTCACACAGCAAATAAATGGTGGTCATGCTGCAGAAAGAAATGCGGCTGCCCACAGCACACACAGGACGGCCACCCCGGCTGAACAAGACAAATGACCTGTGGGTGAACTAATCCTATCTGGTCACCAAAGCCTTTTAAACAATACTGTATTTACACACCTGCTCCCACCTGCAGAGGAGGAGGAGGCAGCTAGTTGCAGCTGTGAGAGCAAATTAGCTTTTCTCAGTGGAACTCAAAGCCCTATGAAAGCACCTCTGTCCATGTCCATCTCCAGAAACCCTAGAGAAGACTGGGCACAGCTTCCAGAGGGCTGCATCTGTTCCAGGTCCCCGGTGCCAGTGCCCATATGGGGACCCAGGGACTGCCCTCTGCCCTCCGTGGTAGGCTGTGGCAATCCTCCCCTCTCCTTACTTCCTATTTGGCCTGACGCTGATCGTGACACCTCCAGGCTGTTGCACAAAGCAATTTGTTTTTCTCTTATCCAAAAGCTGGAAGCTGCTTCAGAACCTACCAGATTCAGAGACCCCTCAGCTGGACTCCTTTCTCCCACCACATAGTAGGCCAGAGGCTGACTTGGGCCCTAGGGTGCAAGCAGCTGAGGTGGGCAGGGAGCAGGGCCTGGCAGCTAAGGCTCCACTGCAGCCAAGGGCAGGGAGTGAGTCCCGGGGACTGACCACCTCCCTCAGCCACTGGGAACCTGCCTCCAAACCTGGTATCCTCCAAGAAAAGGAGACTACTGCCCCGGGGCCACCTGTGCACCAGGCTCCATGCAGCCACCTGACCCCCAGGTGGCACACAGCCCTCCACACACAGGTGTGCTGACCTCCAAGGTAAAGCACACCTCTAGGCAAACAATCGCAGCTCCTAATAGTGCTCTGGAGGTCTCATCAAAAGAGCCACAAAATGCTTCCTTTTCAAACTTGTGATTTCTCAGCAAATACAACAGACTTTCTTATCAGGAAGTCACTCTGAGACCGTCAATTGGTATGGTTTCAAAAACATTCCTCCTCCCAAGGACCAAGGGCTCACATTCAGAAACAGGCCTTCAAACAACAAAGGAAACCCTGCTGTGTGCCCCTCCCAGGCCAACCTTCAAAGCCAGGAATGGGGGCTGCTTGGCAATTCCCTGGCTCCTCCAGGATGTGGCAAGGGCAGCCCAGGTGGTGACTGATAGCTGGCTGGGTGGTCACTTGCTTCCTGGTCTTTGTCCCCGTATGGATGAGGTGTCCTACTCTCGATGGCCTTGGAGGGGCATGCAGGTCCCTCCAGGCTGGAGCTGAAACCTCACTAGGAGGCTGAGGATTCCTGAAATGCCCCATGGCCTGACAGCCACCCCAGGGCCATGTCACCAGGGCCTAGCTGCCAGGGTTCTACAACACAGTGAGTACCAAAGACAGCCAGAGCCCGTCAGGAGGCCGTGAGGGCAGCAAAAATCTGTAACTGCTCCCGGAAAGGCTCCGCACACTACAGCAGCTATAAAGGGAGTTGTACACTCAAGAAACCAGCCACAAACCGGAAATGTCAGACCACAGCTCTGTGGCACTTCCTCAGGAGCACCGGGAGGGGATAAGCAGCCAAGCTCACCACAAGGGCTCTCACACGAAAGGGCCTGTGCAGAAGCAGCCCTCAGCCTCCACGTCTTCACTGCTCAGTGACAGGAATGAGCCCACGGGGAAGCAGCCACCGCTGGGCCCTCACCTGCGCACAGACCTCCTCTCCTGCACAGCCCCCATCAGCCTCTTCCTCCACCAAGTACCAGAGACTCACAAAGTCTACGGTAACTCACTGCTGCTAGCTTCCAGGTTTTAGATAGTTATTCCACATAGTCCTAACATGTAAACTTTCAGATGTCATCTCATCTTAAAAGCATTTTCCCAAAAAGACAGAGATCATCATGCACTTTTCAAAGAACTAAACATCAAACTGCAAGCTAGAATAGAATCCCATGCATGAATCAGAATTTTCTGTAACTCACCTAAATGAAGTTAAAGGTTTACCACAACAGTCAGAAAACGTTCACTGGACCGTCCTGTGCACAGCCTGATTCACTCATTCCCACTGTTGAGCTCCTCCATACAAGGGGCTAGACGGAGGCTAACTCTTTCCCAGCAAGCCCTGGGATGCTGACAGTGCCGGCAGCTCCCCAGGCCAGGCCAGGAGCCGGGGCAGGGCTGGCCAGGCCGCTGTGAGCTCGCTGCAGGCCTGAGCCTCCCAGGGGACTGGCAAAGGAGGCATCCTGGACGGAGCAGGACCCACCCTGCACCTCACAAAGAGCAAGCAAGTTGGGAGACCACAGACTGGAGGAAGGTTTAGAATTTCTCAGGGTAAAGTGTGATTCTGAAAAGATACTGAGTAAGTCACATGTCAAAGATGAAGATATTCATCAAGAAAGTAAACAAATTTCTCTCTGAGCTCTGACTTATCACAAAAAAAAATTCAAGTATTTCATACATGCTTACTTCTATGCAGCATTTCCACAAACATGCTTTATCGCAGAACAGCGGAGGGAGAAGGGCCCTTCCCCATTTTAAGAAATACCTGGAGCACCGGGGCAGGCAGAGGGTCCGATGTGACCGGCTGGCCAGCTGACTGCCGGCACCGTCAGAGGCGAGGCCCCTCAGAAAACTGCGTAAACCAGGGAAAGAGTGTAATGCCTTTCTGCCTTTTCACCACCATCGACCCAGGACAGGATCAGGGAGAAAACTAAGAGGTTCTGGGAGGAAGCCAGCACCAGGTCTAAACCGCGGCCAGAACTCGGCACAGAGAAAGCAGGACGCCCCCATGCCCGGCTCTGCCCTTCACCTCCACCAAACCTGAAGCACCGCTGAAGGGCCCATTGAGCTCCTGTCTGAAAACTTCAGCACAGGCATTTCCCAATGCAGTTTACATTCAGGAGTGGGCCAAGGAGCTTGGGGCCAGGAATGGGAACATGGGCTGGTTTTTAAACATCTGTTAAGAAAGTGCTAATGCTATACACTCCACAGAGGTCACACAGCAAATAAATGGTGGTCATGCTGCAGAAAGAAATGCGGCTGCCCACAGCACACACAGGACGGCCACCCCGGCTGAACAAGACAAATGACCTGTGGGTGAACTAATCCTATCTGGTCACCAAAGCCTTTTAAACAATACTGTATTTACACACCTGCTCCCACCTGCAGAGGAGGAGGAGGCAGCTAGTTGCAGCTGTGAGAGCAAATTAGCTTTTCTCAGTGGAACTCAAAGCCCTATGAAAGCACCTCTGTCCATGTCCATCTCCAGAAACCCTAGAGAAGACTGGGCACAGCTTCCAGAGGGCTGCATCTGTTCCAGGTCCCCGGTGCCAGTGCCCATATGGGGACCCAGGGACTGCCCTCTGCCCTCCGTGGTAGGCTGTGGCAATCCTCCCCTCTCCTTACTTCCTATTTGGCCTGACGCTGATCGTGACACCTCCAGGCTGTTGCACAAAGCAATTTGTTTTTCTCTTATCCAAAAGCTGGAAGCTGCTTCAGAACCTACCAGATTCAGAGACCCCTCAGCTGGACTCCTTTCTCCCACCACATAGTAGGCCAGAGGCTGACTTGGGCCCTAGGGTGCAAGCAGCTGAGGTGGGCAGGGAGCAGGGCCTGGCAGCTAAGGCTCCACTGCAGCCAAGGGCAGGGAGTGAGTCCCGGGGACTGACCACCTCCCTCAGCCACTGGGAACCTGCCTCCAAACCTGGTATACTCCAAGAAAAGGAGACTACTGCCCCGGGGCCACCTGTGCACCAGGCTCCGTGCAGCCACCTGACCCCCAGGTGGCACACAGCCCTCCACACACAGGTGTGCTGACCTCCAAGGTAAAGCACACCTCTAGGCAAACAATCGCAGCTCCTAATAGTGCTCTGGAGGTCTCATCAAAAGAGCCACAAAATGCTTCCTTTTCAAACTTGTGATTTCTCAGCAAATACAACAGACTTTCTTATCAGGAAGTCACTCTGAGACCGTCAATTGGTATGGTTTCAAAAACATTCCTCCTCCCAAGGACCAAGGGCTCACATTCAGAAACAGGCCTTCAAACAACAAAGGAAACCCTGCTGTGTGCCCCTCCCAGGCCAACCTTCAAAGCCAGGAATGGGGGCTGCTTGGCAATTCCCTGGCTCCTCCAGGATGTGGCAAGGGCAGCCCAGGTGGTGACTGATAGCTGGCTGGGTGGTCACTTGCTTCCTGGTCTTTGTCCCCGTATGGATGAGGTGTCCTACTCTCGATGGCCTTGGAGGGGCATGCAGGTCCCTCCAGGCTGGAGCTGAAACCTCACTAGGAGGCTGAGGATTCCTGAAATGC